GTACGTTTTATATAATATACACTAATTATTTTTGTAGATTCACATTCCTCAATGTCTCTTATTTTTTTTTTTTATATACAATTATTGTTACAGCCTAAACCAAACAATTTCTCTATTTTTCTCTCACCTTATTTTTCTTGTAATTAAATTATTTCGAATATTTTCTTCTTATATAATTAATATATTATTATTATTACATACATAGTTTAGCATGAGTTTGAAGAATTTTGAATAGAAAGAATAAATAAGAAAACTCGTTTTTTTATTAACCTTCCAATTCTCGAAGATTTATTGTTTTGTGGATAAACAATATTTTAATATTACGTAAATTTAATAAATAAAATAAGTATAAATATGGGCGTATTTTGACATTCATTAATGTAGGGTAGCATAATGGAAAGAGCAAATTAAAATAATTCACATAAATATTTTATGCTGCATAAATATGAAAATTCCAATTCAAGCATATGACAAGTTTCGCTACAAATATTTTCATAATTATACAAATTTATTGGTAATTTAACAAAAAATCCATGATTGTATTGATTAATTGCTGTTAATTGTATTAATTGCTGAGAAATACATGGGAATAATAATAATGACACAAAATTGAAAATATAAAATTTTTCTAAACAATTTAAAAATATAAATAACACATAGATAAATGATAAATTCACGTTAGGTATATATGAGATATTGCATGTTTTGTTGGTAATATTCAGTATATCAATTAGATCAAGCTAAATTTACGTAAATACCTTCGTTTTCCTTATTAACATTTTTTTATTTCATTAAATTTAATTACGTAGTGATGAATGAAACTGAAATCACAAATAGATAATGAAAAGAATAAGCAAAATATTTAAAGATAGTTAATTATATTTACATATCTAAGTATTAAATGTTTTACGTTATGAATAAAACAACGTACGTACATGTACATTTTCATATTTATTTGAAAAAAGACAGATATCGTTTAGATTTATACAATTAAATTGTACGCAAAATACACAACATATGTAAAAAAAGAATCACATTATATTCATATTTTATAATAATTATTTGGATTTGAACGACAGTCTGTTGCGAAGATCATTCATTACACATTCTTCATCTATTCCATATAAAAAATATTTCGAGTTTGTTTTTGTACGCAAATTTTGAATATTCAAAATAATTTTTTTTTTGGTACAATTTACTTACAAAAATAATATTCAGTAAGTTTGTAAATAGCCATTTACACTTGAACAGCAATGAATGTTACATAATTTTAAATAAAGAATAAAATGAATAAATAAATATGATATGTTCAAAGTGACACCAATCATTGTGGTGTCAATTTTGTTAAAAAATTACAAATATAATTATGTTTAAATATTCAACATAAACATATTATTTTCATCTAATAATAATAATTTATGTTAGGATGGCCATGACTCGGTTTCTAATTAATTAAATAAATCTACATGGATTAATAAATTATACTGTCAATAAATTGAATTAAATTTCTTCTAATGAGATAAAATTATGTCTATTGTTGTGTATTAGTGAAATTATCTCAATGAAATATCAATAATCTTTCTTTAGACTTTTTAAATTAAAACTGGATTAAACACAAAGTTTAACATAGGTTTTATACAATGTTACACAAAGTTTTACACTTAATTTTCCCGGAATATTTTAGTACGTCGAAATAAAAATAATTTTAATTAAATTTAGTTTGGTTCCCAAACTTTTCTTGCAACACTAACAAACAAACTTAACACAATAACATAAATAAAACTAAATTGCTGCAAAGCGCGAATGACCATAGGTCTTTCTGTCCTACTACATTAATTAAATTAAAAAATGCATATTTACCAATATATGATTCAATTAATTAGAAAAATATTAATTGTTAATTAATTTGTTTTGTTAGAAATATTAACTATATTATAAAAGAGATGTGCTATAATAACGTGTGAGTGAAAGCTAAAAGAAAGAAAGGAACGAAAATAATCGTGAAGTAGTTGAAAGTAACGTATAGCAAGGATGTGGGAAAAAATCGTTTATGGACCATAGTTCCGTCGAGCCACCGGCATGAATTATTATATAATTAAAGAAGCATATAATTGAATTAGAATAATAGCTACAACATTTCCATATCTTGATACACGTAGCAGCAGAGGCAGTATATCGAAAAAACATCAATTAGCGTTACGCAATAACCTGCCGATTCCCGAAATTCTCTTAATTGTTACTTTCGTACGTACATCATATTTACTAGTCAATGTACCGTTTTTTTGTTTGTTTTTGTTCCAACTTATTTCTTTCTGTTTCTGGGAAGGCGTGTAGTTGGTTATTTGCTTAGGGATAAATTGCGTTCCAAAGAGACACATACAGAGAGTACGTCGAATGGGAAATGACTCAATTGAACTCAATTCCCGCCGATGTGATGCTATTTCAATTAACTTCTTCTCGTTCTTATTTTTCTTTTTTTTTATTGAATGGAACTTCCAATCAGTTGTGACGGTAATCTTAGAAGTGCGGCCACCAAATATTGTTCTCACCTTTCCGGATTGTGGACCGTGCTAAGACTCAGGTATAAGCATTCAGCCCGTCGGTTGAAGAGAGACCGACCGCGCAGCGTGTGTCCTGTGCGGTGGGTGGCGAGCGCGTTAGTATGGTTCAAAATCGCTGCATTTACCTTACCATTGCTGGTTCAACCTTTTCTTACCTCTTACAGCTGGTCTTCCTCATACATCTCTACTGGCAGGACGCAGCGACTGGCATCGACTACTGATCGCCGCACGTTTGTTTTCGCGACAACGACGAACCGAAAGAAATGCTGCAAGAGTGATTCCTCTGTGTCCTTTTTTTTAATTTACTCTTTTTTTCACAACTTTTCTGGTTGTTTTCTTTTCCCTTTTTCGTTCACCTTTTGTTGCTATTTCCAAACGACCGTCGCGAACGAATGCTGTAAATTATTCAACGTGCTTACTTATTGATAAATCTATACACGCGATTTCCAGTGTACCACCGTGGCCCCCGTGCCACTACCGCAGTTGCCGCCTACCCCCACAAAGATGAAACCATACCGTTCCAGGCAGTTCGCCCTTAAGAAGCTACGCCCAATTACTGCCTTCTTCATGGGATTTGCCACTGTTATACTATTGATTTACATGGACAACAAAGGTAATAACAACATTAATTCATCAAATTGAACACTAATATTGGTTATTAAAGCTCTCAGGCAGGTTAACATGACCCAAGATTACGAGCTGCTTGGTGTCAGCCAGGATGACCCAGAATTGATATCCGCAATCAAGCAATACTTCTTAAAACCAGGTGTAGAGCCACACCACAAACCCATTGAATACACAGCTGAATCTCCTTCTGAGCACATAGAGTATTTACTGAAAATACTAAATAATAAGGTAATGACATCACTCATATTATTTTTAATTTAAAATTAATAGTTATTTTGCAGATGAATGGGAACTTTGTTGAAGCTGGAGCTTATGGAGATGGGAAAACATCAGAAACTGAGTGGCTTGAGAAGAAATTATCTTGGAAAGGTCTGCTGGTCCAGACTGATCCCATGAATTTCTTCAATCTGAAGAGACACAATCGCGCGAAATCTCAGGTGTTGCATGGCTGCTTAAGTCCAGTTCCATACCCTAAAGAAGTAACCTACCATCAGGAAGAAAGATTTAGAAATTTATTTAATACGCGCATCAAGTGTTTCCCTCTCTACTCGCTGCTTCTGGCCATGAACATGACCAAAGTCGATTACCTGAGTCTGGAAACCAGAGGTACAGAGCTACAGGTTCTCGAGACCATACCTTTTGAACGGCTACGCATCGACGTTATCGATGTACACCTGCTGGTGAACGACGGTGAAAAGAATATCATCAAAGAGTTTTTAGCCACCAAGAATTACACGCTCATGCAGGTTTTCAACACGAGCAACATCTACAAGTTGAACGTGGTTTAACCATGAGAACGATATTTTTTAAATACAAAGAATATTTATATATATATTTACATTTAAAAAAAACAGAAGACTGATCAATCGCATAAATCACAAACAAGCTTTAGAAGGAATTGAATACTAAGGAAATTACATTCCACCCATAAGTAATATTGTTTTTAGAAATGAATACTACTACTAAATAGAGAGTGCCTTTTTTAGTACGTTTTATATAATATACACCAATTATTTTTGTAGATTCACATTCCTCAATGTATCTTATTTTTGTTGTTTTATATACAATTATTGTTATAGCCTAAACCAAACAATTTCTCTATTGTTTTCTCTCACCTTATTTTTCTTGTACTTAAATTATTTCAAATAATTTTCTTCTCTCTTATATAATTAATATATTATTATTATTACATACATAGTTTAGCATTAGTTTGAAGAATTTTGAATAGAAAGAATAAATAAGAAAACTTGTTTTTTTTATTACAATTCTCGAAGATTCATTGTTTTGTGGATTAATTTAAACAATATTTTAATATTACGTAAATTTAATAAATAAAATAAGCACAAATATGGGCGTATTTTGACATTCATTAGTATAGGGTAGCAAAATGGAATGAGCAAATTAAAATAATGTGTTTCTGCCTTTCTTGTGAAAATAATAATGAAATCCATACGTTCTCCTTCGGCCATATAAAGCGTACATAATTACGTGCTTTAAAAAAACAAGATGAGCGAGAGTGACTTAACTAGAAAATAGTATGTGACGTGATTTGAAATAAAAATATATATAATAAAGAATCTGTCCATCATGACATCAAAAATCCATGATAATTATATGTAATATATTAGAAAAAAATGGTGTGATGAATTGTATTAATTGCTCAGAAATACATTGGAATAATAATAATGAAATTGAAAATATAAAATTTTGTACGAAATATATTTATAGATTAACTAAAATTATAACATATTCAATTATTCTAAACAATTTAAAAATAGAAATAACACATAGATAAATGATAAATTCACGTTAGGTATATATGAGAGATATTGCATGTTTTGTTGGTAATATTCAGTATAGATTCTTAAGTATATCAATTAGATCAAGCTAAAATTACGTAAATACCTTTGTTTTCCTTTTAAACATTTTTTTATTTCATTAAATTTAATTAAGTAGTGATGAATGAAACTGAAATCACAAGTAGACAATGAAAAGAAAACGCAATATTTAAAGATAGTTAATTATATTTACATATCTAAGTATTAAATGTTTTCCGTTATGGATAAAACAACGTACATACATGTACATTTTCTTATTTATTTGAAAAAAGACAGTCAGATATCGTTTAGATTTATACAATTGCATTGTACAGCAAAATACACAACATCATCATCAATAGTTAATACGTAGTATAAAAAACATATGTAAAAAAGAATCACATTTATATTCATATTTTATAATAATTATTTGGATTTGAACGACAGTCTGTTGCGAAGAAGGTACTTCCTCAATCAAAAAAAAAGGAAACGGTTACATAGAAACAGAAAGAAAACTCCTTAAATGTCTTTCTCTCTCTTTGCTCTACGAATCATCATTACACATTCTTCATCTATCCCATATAAAAAATATTTCGATTAGATTTTCTTTTGGCACGGTACACAAATTTTGAGTATTCAAAATAGATTTTTTTTTGTATCCTCTTTCATGTTACACAATTCGAAACAAAATTTGATAATGGATTCATCTACGGGAGACTAGATATGATTTACATACTCACATTTACAAAAATATGACGATATTTGATTTTTGTGTGCTTTTTTTGTGTGTGTGGGGGAAAGAAGAGATTACGACACCTATGTACGCTCGTTCGTGTGTGCCCTCGAGAACTAAATTAAAACGATAAAGGAGTTATTACACGTAATGGCTGGAATAATATTTACAAATGCACCCTAGGCCCCGAGGCCAAGTAGGCAATATTTCAACTAACCCAGCGCGACTTCTGCAGGTCTATCTGGCCTTCCAAAGTCTTCGCAAGGTAAATGACGAAGAGCTGGGATAATGCAGTGCTGAGGGCGATGATGGCTATCGTGTAGAGGTTCCTCTCCGCCCAGGATCTCACAATCTCGATGCAACCAGAAGTCCACACTTTCTTGCTAGCCTCAGCCACCTAAAACACACACGAAATTGAAATGCACTTGTAATTAAAACATAAGACATAACATACCGATAGAGTCTGCACTCCATATCCACACATAATATTGACTAAACCGGAACTGATGTCTGTAGCATTTATGCAACACGAAAATGGTACACCGCATCGCTCGACACTGGGCGAGGTGCAGTTAAAATATTCATTTTTGGACCAATCAATGTATCCCTCTGAACTCAAACCGCAGCAGCGAAACTAAAAAAAAAAACAATCCCTTTAATTTCATAAGAAGTGGAGGTCGCTGAACCTACCTCCTGTTGCGCAAAATCTATGAAATTTTGCAGATCTGGATCATCCCGATAAGTATGTATAATTTTATCTGTGAAATTCTCTTCTAGCATCGATTGCATGGATTGTGGAAACACAAATCCTAATATTGCCACAATCATTTCCAATAAGAAAAATATCAGCAAACACAGAGAATACTAAAAGCATTAAAATAGTAATTTTATTATTAATTCCTTAGTTTGTCTTCATTACCAATTTCAGAAGGCAGGTGTTCTCTCTAAGGGCTCCTACACACCCAGCAAAACTGACCATGAAAATAACCCCACCCAATATTATCATAACCAAAGATATATTCAAAATCACATCGTATACTGTGTCCAGTTTCACAGAGCCAGTCAGTTGCCATTTATCAATGAAAGCGTAAAGGCCTATGCCAATCAGAAGACCTCCGACAAGCTGTAAAAATAAATAAATAAACCAGTTACTCAACAATTAACACTTTCTCATTTTTTATCACACTTACCCAAAAAGCAAAGTTTAAAATGAATATGAGATACTTGAAGCAGGAGCTGACATAGGTGAAATTACTGTAGTTAGGCCTGGATGGCCTGTGTGGTGGCATCTTTACAAGTAAGTTGAAAACAGTCACAATAATGAGAAATCTTGTAGCACTGAATCACGTCTCGTAATAATCTCGAGTTCTTCACTTTGCTTTCAACTATATTTAATTCATCATCGAGTATTGTTATGCGAAAATACCACAAACTATTGTAACTTAATCACTAATTACTTCCTGGAAGTTGAGGAGGAGGGTTTTGTTTGTCGCCAAACGTCAAAACTTGACGTCTATTATCTGGGATGCACGTACCAACCACGCAAAATAAAACGTTGGGGAGAAAATGAAATAACGGAGGTTTATGCGGTTTAGGTAAATCGTATAATTTCGTTATAGTAACATTGTAAAAGATATTGAAACGTATTTTTTTTAAACTGTTGCAAAATAGTTCCAAATCATTGAATACTTACTTTCACAAATGTTTTGAAATTATATACCAACAAAACTTTTAAAAAGTATATAAACTTGCTATTAATTTCAGCAGAAAACATTACTAAAATCAGAGACTACATTTTAATTATGATAGTTTTATAATTGTACTTTTTGGGACTACTATAAACGTCGAGTCCGTGTTATGACAGAACTGAATGCATTTTTTAATCGTGTTAAAGCGAAACCATGTTGTAAAATAATGAAACATTTTATTTTTGTTTACATTTTTATTTGAATATATTATTTGACAAAATGTTGACAATGGATAAAATAAGAATTAAACTAAATGTGTAATATGTATTGACGTTGTTATTATGATCAAATTATAAATTTAATCTCTAATTAATTTCTGTGTAAACACTACTAATATATATTAATATTCAAGATAAAAAAAAAACAAAACAAGTACTTTAAAATTGAGTAACTTGGAGTTACTCAAATAATATGTATAATAAAATTATTTTTGATATTTTCATTATTAGCATTCTTCCTGCCAATTAACCATATGCTTCCGTCCCCAAAAATATTGTATTGTCCTCATGACCTTCCTTTGCCCAATTGCCTGCTTTTTAATAACAGAATGATCTGGCACTTACATCTGAGCATATAGTTCATGGTAATACACTTACTGTTACAGCGTTGGAACTCTTCGTTAATTGCATTCAAAGGAATATTCAAGTAAAACATAATATTTTCTTCGTAGAATTGGACAGTTTCAACCATAATAATTGTTCTGAATATTGTTCCGCACCGTCGAATAATTTCATTGTGCGTGAACTCTACAAACTCGTTAAAATATCGTTAATATACATTTGTGATTTAACCGAGACCCTAAAATTACAATATATTTTGTGTATATGCAGAGTTTCTGAAACTTTTTTGTCCGCTTAAAAAAATTAAAGGATCCCTCGAAGAATGGGCATGTGTAGAAAAACATACCGTCCGTCATACTTCGAGAATCAGGGAGCGAAAATATCCAATTGTTTGCTTAATAATTTATTATTTTATTATAAAATTATACGCAGTATGGAATTGATAAATACACTATTTTTTCAGGTAGATTTGTTTAATCTTTCGTAAAGTTCATAGTTGTATATATAGGTATAGAATTTGAAGATTTAATATAATTATGCACTTCCGTTTTTATTGGATGAGAAGATAAGAATTTGTTAAAAATTGAAGTATAAATTTTTATTTTGTACTATGGTCATTGCAGCCCAACAATTGTAATAGTTTTGTACAAAAAAAGGAGTACATAAATAAAAGTACCAATTCAAAACAGAACAGAAGCCTAGGCTGGACCAGTGCATATAATTTGTACTATATTTTGTCTAGGTGTAAACTTGACTATTGTACTAAGTTTTATAGCAAATAACCTCGTGTATGTAATTTGTGAGCAGTCATTGCCTATCTGCAATTAACAAATGTTTAATATAGGATAAATAGATAAAGTAAGAAATAAAATGTATAGTTAAAAATTGAACGGATGTGTTCCCTTCACTTCTGTTTTCTTTAAATTTTTATTTTATAAATAAAAAAAAATCTTTAGGTGTTGCAATCTCGGTAATTCTACAAATATTTTTTTATTATCCAAATTAACACATTTTTAGAAAAATGCATTATTATTTGCTATTATTGACTTTTACATTTACTTCTTTGTAAAACTAGTTAATTAATGATAATTATAAATATTACGGCACACAGGTTTAAAATCTATTCATTTCACTTACAACTTACTTAATACTTAAACACACATCGAAACCTTTAATATTATGCTGATTGCTCCTGTCCTCATTTCTCATTTAGATTTATCATCCACGAACAACCTTCACTTCCATTTGCATCGGATGCAACAATGTTGCAAAGACTAGCGTTCAAGTATCAAAACATTTAAATCTTATCTCATTCCACAACATAAAAGTCCTACTTTTCCTCTAGCTATCATCATCTATATGGACATTTGTCATTAATGCTTATAAATTTGGTCAATATATATGTAAGATTGCTTAAACGACCAAAATATCGTTTAACCAAATTTTTTCGTCTATGTAATTTTCTATAAAACGATTTTATGATTTTTATGATTTTAAAGGTCATAACCAAAATATCAAATATAAAAACATACTTTACTTTTCATTTAAACTGCGAATTCGTTTCGAGTCACTGAACTCATACTTTCTAAAATAATAATTGAAACTCCGTAAATATTTCAATTACATTTATGGGATTTCCTAACAAAATAATGTACAGTAATAAATATTTTGAAATTCTCAAAATTATTATATAATCTCGGATAGGTTTAGAAGAATAACTAAACCATTTAGTTTAAAAAGAAATTACTTTATACATTTTCTAATTTTAATTTTGTGAAGACGTGACAAAATTGAGACAAAACGACCTAAAGCTAATTAAATTTCCGTTTTTTCTTTTTACCATTCATTGTCAATATATTTTTATAAGTCATAAAATTAATTTCCTCAAATTTGAAATAATATTACGCAAAAATCGTAACTACTACGAATATGATTGATATCTCACTTAATTTTTTGTAGCCAAAGCGCGTGGGGTCACCAATGGAGCATATAATAGGTAAATTTAAATTCAATATTTGGCACCTTTGACTTCTTGAGGCAGTGGTGCAAATTAGATATTTGGCTACATGGGTAAGATTTCTTTGCTGCGGCCCTGTTTTTAAGTTTAGTAATTTTCTAATAATTAAGTAAAACAGGAATAAAAGTACATGTAGTAAATAACTTAATTTTATTCTAACAAAAAGCAACAAAACAACAATAAACAGTATATTTTAATATCTGTAAACATAAAAAAAAATATGTATTTTAAAATTTAATGAACAATATTCAAAATGTAAACGATATTATACTTCGGTTGAGTTGGCATTTTCAATAACATAGACGACAAACATGAACTTTCTGAAACTCGTAAAATTACTGCAAGTTTAATAAAAATGAGCTACATTTGGAAAACTATTTTCTTACACATAATTCTGTTGCCGAAAAAGTTACGTTGAAACAAATTGTCATCATACATGGCCCATTACAATTACGATTTTCATATACACTGTATTACCCCGACTTACCAACTAGTTCGGTTCCAAAGGGTTGTTCGTAAGTCGGGAAAAATTTCAAAATATACTTATCTTATCACAGTTTATCATGGATTTTACTTTTATATATGTTAAATTCCGTATTGTAGTCAACTACATAATTTTGAAAAAATAGATTAAATTAAACATAATACTTACTGACAAATACTTTTCAATGTATTTAATAAAAAAACGACAAAATAGATAGTACATCTTCCAAAAATATTATATTTCATTAATGACATGTTTGTTTGGACAGTTAATTTTTTTATGACTATATATCTCCTTGTAACAAGTTAGACCTTATAAAATTTTGTTCGTAAGTCCGGGAGGTCGTAAGTTGGGGGATACCTGTATTTGTAAACGGATTCTTCAAGAAATAAAAACAGGTTTGAGCTTCCTGAAATCGATTTGCTCTTATTATATATTTTTAAATCAACCTAATAATCATATTTTCATAAAAAAATATGCGTCAACTATAAGCATCAAAATAATCAATTTCGTTTAATTATCTTGAATAAAAGAAGATAATATTCGCGTTTCTCACTGTTTAAATAAACCAATGATTACAAATAAAAATTAACAAATTTATAATGTGACTAGAACCAACAACAAAATAAGTTTTTTAGATAACCATTACATAAGAACCAAAGTTCATAAATTAGATAGTCACATCCGGCAATTATTAATAATTATACAAATAGGGAGACTTTGATAAAATTATTTTTAATTATTAATGCTATGGAATATTAATGTTCACGATAACAAATTCAGCAATTGTATTTGATATTCTACCTGCATTGATAAGAATATTACAATATAGCTTTGAAATGTTTATCAAATTAACAAGGTATTTTGATTCAAATTTTATTTCCTACAAAAAGAATTATATTAGAATAGTCTGCAAAATATGCTATTATGACAAAGATACTTACTAAATACTTGCTCTATTATCTTCAAGGTAATAAAATAGATAATCTTAAAATAAAATCACCAAATTATATAATATTTTAAGGGAGGCGTTGATCATGATCAGTGGTTTTCAGTGGTGAAATCGATCTCAAGAACTAATAAGTTGACCTCTCCTGTCATTAAAGTAGAACACTTTTAAACAATGAAAATTCCAACCTTCTCCCAAATAACCAGTAGAGATTTCTAAACATTATTTCCAATTTTCGAGATGCTTATTTGACTTTTGTTGATTGGCCATCTTACTGTTGGGCTTTCTTTAGTGTGAATATGCACAGATTTCATATTCTCCACTTTTTGGAGATGAATCAATGAATCAACGTTTGTGAGTGCATAAATATTTATTTTATGTGTCTCTACATTATGTCCATTTAATTGTCCTTTTTTTCTTATTATTTTCCCATTTGTAAAGCGTGTTATTTATGATAGACTGCTTTATTTCTAAAAAAAAGTTTTAGAAATGTCTGCCATGTATAAAAGGTAAAGCATAGGTTCTAAACCAATTCCCTGTGGCACTCATGATTCTATTAGATGTAAATAGGTGAATTTGTCTTCAATTTTTACCTGAAACATTACATTTTCTAAACGCAATTTAATTATTTCATATAATATATATTTTTCAAACCCTTTTTTAGGAAACCACTATTTTTATTGAGTTTAGTCATTATATGTTTGAAAACAGTTAACTCATTTTAGAACAATTCAAAAAAAGGATATATTTTTTTATGTACATGATAATAATTGGTTAAATATAAATAAACATATTTTTTTTTAAATTCAAGACACTGTCCGGAAAATAGTTAAACGTATATTAATTCATATTTGAAAATTAACAATCAGCATACTTTATATCAGTTTTAGTAAATTATTAGAATATTTTATCAAATATGTTCAAATAAACTTCAATAATATATAAAAAGGATTAAATGATAATAAACTCATCTCATTTCCAAAAGTTTTTATCAAAAACAGATTACTTTAAACCTTCAATCAGGACACAAATAAATTAAAAAGTGCAGCAGTATTCCTAGATATATCATAACATAATGTACTTTCTACACAAGTAAGATATTGAAAGAGAACATGGCGAGAAACTACGCAAATTGTTTTCTTACAAGAGTATCAATCCACTTTAAGTTGATCTTCTGTAAAGAATTTAATGTGATAAAAATATATGATATTAAACAATATGACAAAATTTGTTCCATACACTGCCCCAGAATTTGTATGTGAAATTGAGAGTTTCAACTATACAAACTCTTAATATATAACTGTAAAATCGTACCTACAATTTTGTACTTGTCTATAATATCAATTGAAAAAGATTTTGCAAAAACATTAAATAATGACGATATAATAGATATGTTTGCAAATGAGAAAGCTAAACCAACCCTCATTATGCAACTAAAAAATAATTCTTTACTGATATTCGAAAATCAAAAAGCTTAAACTGACTTTAAAATTTAAAACAATAAATGAAGTATACAATAATTGCATTATACAACAAGATCTGCAATATACAGAAATTAAATTAATTAAGAATAGAAGTTTCCTCAATTCTATGACATTTAACATTAATATAATTTTTACTTGATTCTAGAATATGCATTTAATTTTATCGTAAGTAAAATAAATTTCTTTCATTGTCAATTTAAAAAATATGTACTAAACGATGACTGAAAGTTAGTATTGTCATATTCATTTTCCAATAAGTAATGAAAAAATATATTTAAGTGTACTTAATAGAAAATTATAATTTGTATGAATTGTAAACTAATTTACAATAAGAAATATTCTCTATTTTAATATTTCTCGGTAATCTTACAAGCAAAACTGAATAAATTCGAGAGGAAAATTTCACGCCAACCTAATTAAATCATATGTAAATAGAATTATATTTATGTATCTGTAAGATTAGACGTGATAACGATATATCCAACTGTAGACTTGACACACACATATACACAATATTTTTTCCATTTTCATAAATAAAGGTGATGTCTGTGAATGTGTGCGTATGTACGGATAATCATCGATTCATATAAAATTGTGTGTTAATAATGATTATCGATACACTTGGGCCATTATCTTTTATCTGATGGCATTATATATTATATTCGATATAATTCGAACGAGTGTGTTTGTATTTGATTGCGGAGCAGAGCAACAACAACGAAGATGGCCCTGAATCGGGTTTCGACGTTCTTCGGATTGAAGAAGACCAAGCAGCAAGTGAAGCACAGTGCAGCCGACGAAGATGAAGACCTACCCAAAGCACCGGTTCGGAAGTACTCGTTATCGAAGACAGGAAGGATGCGTGCGAAACAGTACACGCACAAAACAATAACAGACGGAAAGCTTTACCAGACTCCGGATACCATCCAGGAAACAGGAAATGGACACAAGCGCAACAAGTCGCAGGACAGCAATGCCGGTGAAAGGAAGAAGGATGAAGAGGAGGACAACATTGATAACCTGATTGGAAGCCTATACGACTTCACGAAGACTGTTTAATAGTGACTAAAGTGAGGCAAATTCTAATTTATTAATAGGATTTTCTATATATATATATATACATTTGAAAGACTGTTATTTCGAAGTGACAGATTGCTGTGTAGAACGCAAAATTTGGACTCTTACCTTAATGGTTGCATTATCTTGGACTCGTAAAAAGGCTTATCAGAGATAAATATCTGTTATTTTTTTTGCGTGTGTGAATGTAAATATATAAATAAATGATAACACTGGTGAGGCCAGTGTGTGAGGGGGTGAGACTAATGTAAATTTAAATGTTCGTTTCTTTATTCTATTTGTTCAACCATACAAACATCCAAAAGGCAAAATCTCTTCTTGCACATTGGGCACGGGCATTTTCCCGATAGCCATTGGCTCGTCTGCTCGATATCTTGCTGATGTGCAAACCATCTTGCCAAACAGTCCACACACCATATCGGCCTGCAATTACAGTTCGAGCAGTGCTCCTCGCCCGAATCTTCGCAGAGCTTCTGCAGCTTCACATTCGATGTAACTATGTTGCATCCGAAGCAATGATCCAAATCCTAAAAGAAAACTTCATATAAAAAATCTACAGTATTGTTTTTTGTTGTTGTTGTTGTTGTCAATAAACAGTCATTATACAAAAATATATTTTTTTGACGTAATTTTACAATAATAAAATTGTAAATCCAATTAGGATATTTATTTTAATTATTTGCAGACTAATTTTTTGTGATTAAACCATATAAGATCCTTAACTTCTACCAATCAGAATTTTTATGTTAATTATCTAGTTAGTACTTGTAATATAAACGATTATTTTTTGTGTACAAAATGAATTTTTTACAACTAAATCAGTATATTTATTTTAATTATCTACAGTTACTACTTGTAGATTAATCACGTAAATTTATTTTCTTGTAAAAATCATTGACATACTTGACTAGATGCAATTTGTTAAATTGCAAATAAAGGGTGTCCCAAAATTAACGCAAGATTTTAGTTTTCAGATTGTGATTGTGATAAAAACTATGTTTTCTATTTAATTCAAACAACGTCAAATAAAAAAATTTAATTTTTAAATTACAAATTTCTACAACGATCAACTGAAATATTGAAAAGCAGTTTTTTATTGCTTATTTGCTCAAATATAAGATTTGTAGTCCTTGAAGTTGCAATTAATTATTATCAATCAATAAATTCACACTGCTATTAAATATTAATTAATTAATAATTTAATAAATGTCTTGAATTTTCTATTATAAAGGAAACTTTTATAAATGTCTAATGAAAATATTTACTAAATAAATATAACATATTCAATCATATATAATAATCAAATACAACTGTAATAGAAAAACGGTAATTATTTATAATTGTCAAAACAATGATAAATTGACTGTGTTATCTTATGTTATTTATATAACTGAGCAAATCCGTTTATCAATAAATAGCGTTTGTTGTACCAAATGAAAAGGCGATATTGCGCATTACGTGCTAGCAATATATTTTTAAACTAACAACGTGATTTTTATTTTTCCAAATCCAATAAGATTTTTTTTGTATAATAAATTTAACAATTTCAAAATCATAATTAAAAGAAAAATATGAACGATTTTTTTAAAGCGTAATTTCTAAACATTGAAAAGTTTAAAGCATTTTATTTAGTTTTATCGATTTAATAAATAAAACTAAATAAATGTGATTATTAAATATTATATTTTCAAAATAGGACTGTTTATGTCAAAGTTATCTGATATTGCATCATATGACATTTTAATTCAAAATAAAAAATGACAAATCTCTTTAGAAATGAAGCTACTGTTTAAATTATTATAAAATTCAAATATTTTTTTGTTTAATGTCCTCTGTATGATATTTTTCGGACATAAATAAATACATGCAAAAGAATAAATGTCAAAACATTTAAATTATGTAAAACTTATCTCAGATAATGCATCATAATATGACATATTTTAACGATTTAATTCAAAATGTATAAATATAAGGCCGGAAAGTCTGCAGTTTATTATCATATTTATGTATATTGACGGTGTAATCAAATATAACGAGGTAAAAAAAATGTTGATAATCAATACATTCAAAATTGCATTTCGTGTTAAGACTTCTTATGGCAGTGTTTTCCAAACATGATGTTATTCCTCCATTTCATAAAATAGATAAAACTTTAGCAGTCATTCGGAAATTTGCTCACTGTGACTAATATTCGCGCCTCCCTAGGGAGGCGTGCCTCACAGTTTGGAAAACGCTGCATTATGGAATCATATTGACCAATAAAGAGCGGCTCATTACGTAATGTTGCAGGATCAATCTAGATCAGTTCGATTCTCATACCAAATTTAGATCAATAAAGACCCGAATGTGTGAAATACGGTCGTAATCATATAAAAATGACCAATGAAAATGGTTATTTGTATTAAATTAGATTATAATTGATGGTCATTCTCAGACTATGAGTGTTAAGTATTATTCTAGCAAATCAATTTGAAAAATGACCAACAACCAAAGTTTCCAAATAAAATTTTCTTTTAAGCAAAATAACTTAAATTAAAAGCAAATGTGAATTATTTGAGAAGCGCTTAATTATAGAGAAAATATTGGCACCTGAGAGGTTTTGTACTTGGGATTCTGTTCGACGGCATGCCTGAACGCGTCCACGAACTTCTCTATGACGCTCTTGAAGATCTTTATATTCTCTGGTATATGTACAATTCCTGCCAATCGATCCTGCAAATCCCTAAAATCCAGAGTGTTCAGACGAATATTATAAGAAGGCACTCGCGGTGATTGGACTTCAATGGTAATAAACTGTGTTCCGTCATTGGACAAATGCGAAAACGCGTGGGTATCGCTCTGTCTAACACAAAGCTGTGAATCGCTCTGATGTGATATACACATACTCAGCGGGGTAACTTTAATAATCCAATTCTCAGTTGCAACAATTTTGATGATTGCATTTGTCTGCACACATAACTTGTCAATACTGCAAAAGAAAAAATAATTATGTTATCTGAATAATATACATTATCTGCATCACTCAACCTTCTAAACTCGAAATTGATATTTTGAGCAATCATCCTCCAATCTCTATTCCCAGTGGTGAACTTCTTCAGTGTTTTCACGATGGCATGATTCTCCCAACTCAATTTATACCTAACAATCTCAAAGAAAGCCAAGATGGGTAAAATAATTGCAAGTGAAAGCAAAACACTAATCCAAATTGAATCATCAACGAACCACAGCTTCTGGATCTAAAACATTTTGGGTGTGATTTAAATAAAATTGAATACTTCATAATTTTACCCCATTTTCATCACCAAAGAAAGTTGTGCCAAAGATAAATCCCAGAGGTAGGACAGAGTAAATCAATAGTGTGAAAGCAGTCCTCTTCATGTGGTATTCAATGAAATTCTCATGTTCGCTGCCCAGGATGCTGGAGAACAGCTGAGGTATGGTGAAACCGAAGGAGATACATTCTGTTGGTGGAAATATCACACAAAACGCGAACAGTAGATAAAACAACAGAAACACAACATCAGCAGTCATTTCTATATTAAGTTATTATTATGTTATCAACATGATAATTGACTAATCAAGTGTTTTTTTTTTCCTTATTTTTGGCTGCACAATATATTGTTGATAGGAAAATAAAAAGTAAGGTACATTAAATATAAAATTAAGCCAAATAAATATTAGCAAACTATTTTCTATACATTGCAAACCACAGCACAAAAACAACAATTTTGACATCTTGTCAGACGATTTGATAATAAATAAGATATGCAACCACATGATCATTACTGTCTTTACTGTCTTCCAACATTACAAAATATTTGATTTACAAATGATCTGTACTAAAATCCTTGTATACTATATATTGCTTTTTATATATTTAATTTATTAATGGCTTACAATTAAAATCATAAAATATTTAATAAAAGGTGGAAAAATAGATTTTGATGATTTTTAATAATAGCAATATGTATACACCAATATATATTTATTTTTGTTTACTTTTTGTGAAATATTTTATATTTTCATCATTGTTATTAGAACTTATTAGAACCAAATTAAAAAAAAAAACATGTTTATTAATCAGAGTTGAACCGAAATTAATTTCGTTTCGGTTTACGGTTACGTTCCAATTAAATGTTACGTTCCATTTAAATTCTTTAAAGTTAAGTTTTAAAATTAAGTCAAATATCAAATTTTGATTTAATTTTATGTACAAATTTCCTTCGTACTGAAATAAACCTCAATTAGTGAATAGCACATGCAATTTGTAATGTTTCCTCAGTCATATTTAGCGTATTATCCTTTTTAATCACTTTGATCCGAGTTTCTTCTAATTTTAGTTACGCAAGACTTGTGCTTGCTCTCTTTTCTTAAAATTTTCTCTTTTAAGTCGGTGGTTGTTTGAACGCTCAATAAGTCCTTCGACGTCAGTGAGTTGTGATTCGGAGATTTCATCGATGTCTCTTGTACATTGTATGTTTATATACTCTATTAACACAACGTCGAAAAATTATTTTTATCGAATGTCTATACAAATAAACCAAAACACAAGCACCGCCACACTACCATCAATGAGCATACATGATAGAAATCAATTGTGACTTACTTTAATAAAAAAAAATGAACTGAAATTAACCGTAATTTACGTTACGATTACAGTTACGGTTCTGTTAAAAATTCCGGTTAATTTTGGTTTTCCGTTCGGTTCGACTCTTTGTTTTTAATAATGTTGTTTTTACTTGAAATAAAACACAAATGATATAATTTTTTTTATCAATAAGAGTCAGAAAAGTTATTTTTTTTTATATAACACCTTGTTTACTATATTATTTTATTAATTTAGGCAATTAAAAATGTTTCAATCTTGATATAATCAATTTAATTGACTTATAATCATTAATATATTAACTATAAACACAATTATGTAAGATTCGATATGTATTTTTATATAGTGATTTTTATCTCGTACGTGTTTTCTATAAGGAAATACGGAGAACATAAAACTTGAAAAAGTATCTAAGAGATTATTTTGTTTACACCAAAATGTAACATGATTTTTTTATCGATTAGCAATAAATATTATAAAAATTCCCTATTTCTAAAGCAGATTTATAAATACATTATTTTTATTTAGGATTATATCGATATATATATTCTTTCAGTTATAATAACGTTTATTGCATTAATAGTTTAAAAAAACTTATTCTGATTATAGCTCTTTCCGTTCCATTATGTTAATTAATATCATATTTAATATTCATTCAGAACCGTAAGTATAATAATCTGTAATTATATTGGGTTGTTCAAAAAGTGTGCGCCACAGTTTGGAAACCCCTGACATATACTATTTGAATCTATTATTTTATTGTTGCATAATTATCAGGCGTTTTTTAAAGAATATTTATTATGAAAGAAGAAATATAAAAATTCTACAATAACATTTTTAAATTAATATTCCAGAGCGTAGACACCATCTACGTCAGTGACTGTCAAACTGTGTGCCGCGGCTATTCTAGGTGTGCCACGAAAAATTTAGAAATATATTCATTCGGCTTCGTATATAGATTCGGCGCCGTTTTATCTTCAATTCCGCTTAATCGGGACACATCGGGACTAGTATACTTGTCCCGATTAAGAGGCTGGCCCAATTATCCGAAATGCCATTTGTTAGGTTTTGTTTCTGTTCTTTAGCATTTATCCCTAATAAGCTGTTGTCCCGATTAAGCGGAATCGACTGTAATTTTATTCAAAACAAACTTCTACAGATGTCATCTTTCAGAATATGTACACAAGTCAATCGTCATCGTCAATCGAATTCTGGATATTCAGAATTTAAGATATTCAGGCACCGTCAATACCACTTAGCAATAATCGGCACAAACTTTTCGATCAACCCAATACATAGATCGAGAAGATATTTTATAATTCCTTAATTCTTTATTAATCGTTTGTTTTCTAAAATGCATGGCGGCTAGTAATTACTTTGGGAAAAGGGAAATACCCGAAGACAGCGTTGTATTTAGCAACTGTTAGTTTGTACCTTTAATAACTGCAAAATAAGTATTAATAATTCAGGTTACAAACCTTCGGTATTATAATCATTTTACTAATACAAGTAATATTTATTATATTATTCAAATAATTTTACCAATGTGATATTTGCTGCAATAACTAACATTCACTAGATACGGCGCTGCTCAGAGTTATGTAAATTATTCCTGGAATTACCCAATCGCCGTTCAGACTGTTAAATCATTCGGAGTATGTGTATATAAAACCTCACCGCAACTGATTTAAAAGTTGTAAATCCTAAAATGAAGTTCTTCGCTCTTTTTGCTGTGATCTTTGCGATCTTTGCATCGTTAATTGGAAATGCATCTGCAGCTAGTGGACAAATTATTTGTTGCTATGAGTATATTCACAAGCAATTAGAGTGCAAACCTGCGACGTGTTCACCGGAATACAGAATTCCATTAGATTACAGCAAGTGCCAATGCTGCGAAGCATGTTCCAATGAATAATAAAAGTGAGTGCATACGAAAATAATCAAAGAAAAATAATTTCAACTTGAACTTTCCAGGTAATTGGAGTTCAATAATCAACGATGATTTGCAATATTTTTGTATTATTTATAAATTTTAATACAAATAAAAATATTAAGATATAAAAACTTCTTATAATTAATTTTTATTTTGGTTAACACATTTGTTAGTTGAATTCTTAAAAATAAACAACCCTTAAATATTGAATGTATTAACAAAAATATATATTAATAAAAAAACTTAAATATGTAAAATATTCAAATTGTCTGAAACATTACAAACAAAAAGCACAAATTCACAAAAGGACCATTCTTATTGATATAATAATCATTATTTGGAAATATAAATGTAATTTGATATAAATTTCGAATGTATTAGGTATTTTGCTAATAATAAAGTTACAGACTGAAAACAATAATATTGTCAGTTATATGAGTTTTATCATCGATACTAATAACAATGTATATATGTTATGAACTTGACAAACAGTAATCCTCCAGTTTATTAATCTTATTCTCTATAGCCGTGTTAAAAGTAACATTTGTAGCTCAACAAGAAGAAATTCATGGAGTATTCCCTATTAAAATTATTTAGAGAATATCAGTTGTATGACAACCATCACCACCATCAGAAGCACCATCACCTGAATAAGATAAGTTTATAATAAAATTATACCTATCAAGAATGTATGATAAGTAAATAATATAACTACATAACTGAATTGGAGTCATCGTTAGCCATAAAACAAAAAATGGTCTTCAGATATACTGTGTCACTTTCAATATATTCGAAGAAATCTATATACTAAAACAAATATCACCAGAAAGAGAAAATTCAGCAATTGTTTTTCAGAACTAACTGAAATCAGAACTAACTGAATTATCCAAACAGGTGCGGATTTAGTTTGATCAACATTCATGTATGATGGTGTAAATAAATAGTATTTTTAATTAGGTATAGAGTATATTCTAATATAAGAAGCATAAATGAATATAAAAAAAACAAAACGCGACCATCGAATGTGCCATCATTAATTTATATAATAATTCTTTATTTAAAAATATAATAAGAAACTTGTGAATTTCTCTGTAAGTTGTTCAACTCTTACATCAAATGAGCAACAGTCAACTGAGCACCAGCGTGATAAAGTAATGTAACTAAAAGGAACTAAAAAGATACAATCTTATAATAATAAATTATTAATCAACCTTCGGAATATTCCACAAGTTATTCTAAATAATCACGTAAAGTATCCGTTTGTATATTTGATGGATACGTTAAATATGATTTGTAATAATTAAATCAGTTATTCTAATATCCGCGTATGTGATATATTTGATGGATACGTAAATATGATTTGTATAATTAAGAGGAAATTGGTAGACCTAACAAATATACTATTATATTGTATATAATATGATTTGTAATAATTAAGAGGAAAGTCATGGCCCTAACAAATATACATATTAGTTATACAATAGATGACAATAAATTGGTCGGCCACGACAATATTATAA